AGCACATGTTTAAATTTATTCCTTTACAAATAAAAGATCAGAGTAGGGATCTGTCAATTGCCAGACATATTTTTAAAAGATACTTTTATGTTAAAAGTTTGATTAATGAATTATGTAAGATGAAAATATAAGTATTGCTTTTTTTATTTTGCTAATATTAAATGTAATCTTGTGGTGAAATTTTGTCGGAGGGTCCTTACGGATTTTGTAGTTAAATAGTTTTTTTAGGCGATACATGGTTTAAGAATATAATGTTTTCAAACTATATGTTCATCACCATTAGTGAATTTTTAGTTAAACGTATGCAAAATATTTACTAACAGCTATATGATATAGCGGTTTATGAGCGTTTTCCGCGTACCGCCTCCTAAGGTGTACTAATAAGTTAGTTTTCCTTAGTTATCACGCAAGCATGATCCATGTCTCTGATGTAAGCGACAGTTTACCATTATTTGTCTTTAAAAAAATATTGAGGACTATTAATGGTTTATAACAACAAAAGAACATGCATGATATTGAGACTACGGTGTTGCAACGTTCTAGTTAATGACCCGTCATAAACAGTTGGTCGCTGCGTAGTAATTGGAAAATTGTTATCAAAAATAATAAAAAAAAAATGATAAAAAATAATGAAAAAAATAACAAACAAAATCAAGAATTTTTCAGAGAATTATTATCTTTACAAATTGCAGATATGAAATAAAAGAATGAACATATTTTCATATTGTAAATGTCTGTGATGAGTGATGAGTCAGCTTAGAAAAAATCAAGGTACTATTTCTTGACCTGATTACCGCGGCAGTAAGATTTGACTGATGGTATTAACATTGGGGAGGCATAGCCTCCCCAAAAACCATCCGATTTAGTTTAATATGTCCAAGGGTATTTTAAGGAGTCTTTTATCTCCTAAGGTATACCACCCATTTTAAAGTTTAAAGTATTACCATTTCTTTACCCAATGACAAGAACTTTTGTTCAATAATATTTATGTTTATATTCCAATTATTACAATATTATACAAATTCGTCAAGACATTCCTGTAATTTTACAGGATGTTCAGATATTTATATGGTATCGTCAGCATAAAGTAAAAGTAGTATTTTCTAGAACACGTACAAATCGCAATATAAGCCCAAAAACACAGTACCGTTGTGACCCTTACTGTCTAAATATTGCTCTAGATAATTAAGAAACAATGTAAAAAGTACAGATGAAAGATTGTATCCCTGCTTAATTTCACAGTTACACTAAAAATCTGAGAATATGTACCATTGTGATAAACACATGACTTAAGTTTCGAATACATTTTCTGAACTACTCCGAAATATTTACCATTTATAACATTGTTGTCCATCATTTTTTCCATAAGCCAACCCCTCCACAATCAGAATCAAATGCCTAAGAGAAATCTGTAGAAAGAAATAATATTTGCTTTTTCGATTTTTGTAGAATCGCTAAAATGGAATCTGAAGTGAATATGTGACCTATAGCGGATTATTGTTTGCAAAAGCCTGTTTGCTTTTCTTTAAAGAATTGAATGCTGATATATAGATTTATTTAACCTATTGTTTAGAACCGAAGTAAAGAATTTGCTAACACAGCTTAATAAGGTTATAGGCCTGTCATTCTCTGGTTAGCAGGTATCACCCTTATTCTTATATATTGGTAAGATAGTACCAATATACCCCTGTGTTGGTATTACACAAGTTTCTGAAGCAAGATTTAACAAAGGGTTATTTAGAGTTAAACCACTCAAGCTTGATTTCAGTATACGTTATGCCCCGGTCACATATTCACGGATAATGCCACGGAAGAGCTACGGTCTAATTGTTCACGGATTACTACGGAATGTGAAATTCAGTAGTCCACGGTTCCAGTACGGACACACAACTGTATGAGTACGGAGCTCGACGGATTTACCACTAAAAGCCCCGGGAGGGCCACGGATTGTTACAGACTGACACGGTTTGATACGGAGCGACACGAATCAGGACGGACGCACTACGGATACACTACGGTCTGCTACGGTCTAAGCACGGGTTAGTACGAATGAGTACGGTCTGATACGGAGAAGAACGAATTGATACGGAGAAGAACGAACAGCCACGAATCTATACGGACCTATTATATCCGTCCACAACCTCTTGCATGCACACTTTCAAAATGCCTCACAAGAAAAGAACACCTATAAAACGAATTGCAGAGTTAAATGAGAGGAGAGGATTCGGCCTCATCGCGTCCGACCCCCGAGACATATCAGGCCCGATTAAAGTGAATTTCTTGAAGGACACAGGATCCTCAACAAGTTCGACCATTAGAGCCTCATACTAAACATGAAGGGGTTTTCGTAAAAGCCCATCTCTAGTTCACCAACACCTCTGTCTTTTCTTACCTGATTATATACTAGTATGGACCAGTAATCATTAATGAAAAATGTTGATCAATACTGTTTCTCTTTTGATTTTGAAATTTGCTGTTCATTTTACAATTACATTAATTATCGTGGATGTTTATGTTTTAAGAATATGTGAAAAGCTTGTTAATTAATCTTATTATCACTCAAGGGCTAGCATCCGAGGCTTATGAGACACTTCGTTTTATGCACATATTACTCCAATTTCACGATCCAATGTTTTGTAACATATGTAACATTAAATGTTATTATATTAATTATGAATTGTAGCACAATATTAATATATTTTTTTTACCTCTCTGCATGTCATCAAGCAGCTCGACCACTGCCTCCGCATTCTGAGCCATATCAATATGCAGTTGCAGCCAGTTAATGGCAATCATCATTTATTGAATGTTCACGCAAACATGTCTGTTTTTATCAAGAAGGCAGTGTTTATAGCCTTTAAAAAGACATGGTACTTAATTTATCCGTACTAAACAGTGTTGGACCGTACCATTCCGTACCGTTTCGTGTTGCAAAGCAATAAACCGTATAAGACCGTGCTTATCCCTGCCTCTCCGTAGTACAACGTATTACGATCGTGGCTTTCCGTGACAATGCCGTATTAATCCGTATTAAAACCGTAGCTTATACGTAGGGTTACCGTACAAATACGTAGTTATCCGTACCAAACCGTGGAAATCCTTGACAAGTTTGGGCCTACGGATCAGTACGGACTAACTACGGTTTTCGTACGGACCAGTACGTATCAGTACGGTTTAATACGGACTAGTAGGGATACACTACGGTTGATTTTTCCGTAGCAAATTTTTGTGCATGTTCAAAAATTGTCAAGGATCGCTACGGATATAGCAGGACTACTACGATTGATTACGGTTACAATACGGAGAGCTACTGACCAGTACGGGTAGCTACGGTCGATGCCGGAATTAATCCGTGACTCTTCCGTGGGCGTGTTCCGTGAATATGTGACCGGGGTATTATCTGTATCATTATCATGCTAGTATTGTCGTCTGTTAACATTTTTGATAACGCGCTGCAAAAATTACACGTAATTTTCTGTACGCTGTGTATTCAATTCATGTTGTTTTGTAATGATATCTCGTTTAGCTGACATGCGCTAATTGTAACGTACCATTTACATAACGTTTTGCAATACAGCAAATTCATCTTGTACAACTTTGATTTTCACATTAAGTGTTGCGGGATACCTAACATCAACAGTTTCATTTCATAGAGTTGCCAATTACTAATCCATTGAAGTATACATTGTTGCATGCAAGAATTGAGGTTCATGTTTATTTTACGATGAGACGATTATCTATACAATTAACTTTTTATAGTGTAAATTTATCATTGCATACAAAACATTCAACTTTTAAAACAAAATAACTCGACAAATTTCAGCGTTAATTTAATAATTTCGATATACTTTTAACAAACACATGTTATCATTTAAAAGAATCCCGGAACACCTTAACCCATTACTTCATGAGCATTTTGTGAAAAATGGCTGTTTTCATTGAAAAGTCTCCCGTTACAAGTTCATATTGCTATAATACTATAAACACTGCTTCAACACTAATCAAACTAGGCACAAATGTTGACTGGACCATTGCCCTTGCAACAACATGCTCAGGCTTAAATTTTCTGTTACCATGGCAACGAGGGGACATCTCAAAATTGCCAACAATCACTATTTTGCGTTGATTTTTTCCATCAAAATTGATTTCAAAGTGCTACAACTTCTCAATGGATTGAGATAGAGTCAAATGCTTTTCAGCGTTGCTTACACGTTACCTTATGATCAATCTGGGGTCATTTATAGCCTCTCACAAGTCCAAACTTTTCTTGGCGATGAGGGGGACTCCGCCCCCCTTTAAACCCCCCAAACAGAAGGGGGCACATCCCCCTTCTGGCAACCCCCTGATGTATCTTTTGGTTGGGGGCCGCGCCGAAAAAGAGGTCACTTTTTTAGCAACATTTCTTAAACAACAACAAGTGGGTTGGGGGCCTAAATAGACATTTTTTCACCATTTGAGACACCAAAAAAGGGGGGTGGGTGAAAAAGGCGTTAAAAGGCGTGTATATAACGTAATGGGTTAATATAAGGAACATCTTATAATGAAAAGTAAAGTAAAACTATATAGTAATAAAACAAACACATACTTGAATACACTTTATAATAATTTTCGTAAACAAATTACCCAGTCTATAAAAAAAGAGAGAGAAAAACTTTTAACCAAAAACCGAGTGAATGCATAATATATCATAAAGCTTTTTTTTTATATTTTATGTTTCACTGTTCATGTTTGTGGCTATTTTCAATTAGAATTAAAGGACAAAACTTGTTCAACATTATCCATTGTAAATACGTATATAAATAAAAACAACAAAAAAAACCCCAAAAACCCATCCACCCAAAACAAAACGTGATAATCTACATGTACGATAACCTATTTACGTATGGTCTTATGATCATTTTAATCTGTTTTACAGGGTACAATTTTATAATACTTCGATCCTTAACCCACCCATAATATGATAACCTATAATTTCAAACCATAATAAACCATCAGAAAGATAACCTGCTTGATAATTACATGTATTTTTATATTAATCTGCACTTTAGTCACATTCACACTACGCAATTTACTAAAGGTGTGAAGATATATTAAAGAAAATTGTGATATATTGCTATACCACAACTATCCATTAGAAATGGCGACAAACGACATGAGAAGTGTTGATTCGGGTATGTAAATATTTTCATTTATTTTTAATACTTCCAGATTTGAAATTTTCAGATATATATATCCATAAATACAGGATCATAAACGTATCGTATCTAAAACAGCTTTAATCAAAGTTTGAAGAATGAAGGAGAAAAGAAAAAAGAAAGACTCATTTACACTATATTCTATGGTCGCTGATTTCGTTGTGTTGTCGCTAGGACAGCACGACAGAGAGCAAAACGGCGCACTGTCGTCCTGTCGCTAATGATGCACGCCAAACTGCGCGTTGTCTTGTGGCGTGTTGTCCCGATGTCACATTGTAGCTCGGCTCAAATTGAAGGATTGGCTATTTGTACATATATAAACAAGCGACATCGCGACAACGCACCGCACGACAACGTGCCGGTTGACCCGTTTCGCTAGCGACAAGACGAAAAGGCGATAACGATATAAGTTGTGTTGTCGCTATCGCAAAGTGTACAAAATCAGCCACCATAATATTCTGCGTTGGTTGCGTTACTTAACGTAACCAGTTCATTCACGTATTTTCGAAAAGGACATACGTTTTTTTTTATTTCACATTGCCTTCTTTTATTTTTTCCTGACCCGAGACATGTTTAAAGGTGTTTAATAGCGAGCCACATAAAAATGGACACGAACTTATAGTTTTTTTTAAAAAATAACGTTATTAGATGACTGGACATTTTTAAAAACACAATACTGTTAGCCTTTGCATGTTTGATGCAAAACATAACTAACTTTAATTTACTTACATTACTTACATTATTACTAATTGCACTTGACAACATTTTTATAAATAAAAACAGATACAAATTATTTAGAAATGAGTGCGAATTTCGAGGCATGCTTCTTCAATTTCGTCTTTACTATATATAATAATTATATATCCATGGATTATACCAATAATTTGTATCTTTGTTACGTTTCAATAAGGATCCTTTACAGGCAGGCAATATGACGACATATATAAACATCGATCGAAACTATAGTCTGTTCCACAGAATTAGAACATTTCATTTTGTATAAATCATAATAGTAAAATCATTTAAATTAATGTCATGCTAACCCTAACATCAATATATCTTGGCATGTTTTTTCATTTTTTCTACCGAAAATTAACGGTATGATTAAAAATGTAAAACTGTAACATTGTATCCTGACGTGACGTCCATTTCCAAAATTCGGCACCCATACTCACGCCATTTAGAGTTCGTCTCACAATTGTGGTCACATGCTCTCGGTAATTTAAAAGAAAGTGATTATTTTTATTTACTTACTGAATATTGTCATAAAGATGACGAATGAGAACAAAGTTGATGTCGAAAAGGCAATTTCATAACCAAACTATTGCGTTTTAAAATAATCGCCTATTAAAATCATTTGAAGTGAAATACCACTTTATAAATTCTAACATACAGTTACTTGTATAATAATGTTGATATTCTGTCGAATTTTGTATTCACTTTAAAGAGGAAAAGGTGATTTGATAAAGCCCCAGTCACATAAGAGTTTACGATCAGTTAAGACCAGTTCACGATCACCAGTGAACAATGATCGCGGACAATCTTTAAAACGTCTTACGACGGTCATCGGTGATCTTCGGTAGTCGCAGGTTATCTTATTTAGGTCCCACGACCAATCTCAGTCGTAGAGAGGTTTTTGAGCTTGCACAACAACCTCCCTGCGATCAAACAGGTCGCTAGTGATCTTATAAGGTCTTAGGCTGTCGCATGATCGTCGTTCGGAAGTGCGACAATCTTACGACTGTCTTTACAAATTTCCACTAGTCACTGATAATCTTGAGTAACCTTGAGTTATCGTGCAAAGGTCGTTGGACAAGTTGTAGGTCATCGCATGACAGGTCACGGTTAGTCGTAAGTAATCCCACACAATCTTGAGACCATCGTACGTTTGCTTATGACCTGTTGGCGATTGTCAATGATGACAGGTCTTACGATAGTCGCAGAAGCAAATTTATCTGTGCAAAAAGGGCTTTGGTCGCAGACAATCGCTGATGATCGTCAGTTTTTCAAGTCGCCGGTGGTCGCAAGTAATCTTAAGCTCTAGTGTGACTGGGGTTTAAGATAGCTTATCAATAAAGCGCGTATCTTGAATACCGCAAGCGTCGAAGGAGAATGGGAAAACTAGAAACTCAAAAATATTCTTCAACGACCTCGCTGTACTGCGAAAACTTAATAGAATAACATTGCCATAATTTTATCTTACCATTATTCATTGAAAAAAGAAGAATTAATGTGATTTTTAAAATGTAAGATATCAAAAGTTCTATTGATATATGAATGGAAGGTGTAATTTTAGCAGTTTCTCCAAAATCTTTTTAAACGAAAAAATATTGTTAAATAAATGGCATTAGAACGAACTTAACTCAACGGTATAAGGTTATATATGCCTTTCATATCCGCAACTGGAATTATCGATAAAAGCGCGATCATTACGTCATGTATTTCGTTAATTGTTGTTGATGTGATAAAAAATTTTTGTCAGGAATCCATTTTCTAGAGTTACAAGGATTGCGATGTTGAAAACTGAAATTGATTGGTTGTTCTTGAATCATGGATTTAGAACAAACTGATTATTTGCTGTTCCGTTTGGACAATCGTGATTTTTTATTGTGTCCTTACCCGCGATGCACGATGGTACGATTGTGAAAACGCGATGTTATTTATTGTATAAAGTCACATGTGTATAAAGAGGCCTATATATCATAAAATTTGATTTTCGTTTAATCATTGGCCAGGTAAAGGACCAAACCCTTCTATATAGCATGCACAATTAACATTGAATATAACCTGTGTACTGTTTAATTAACATGTCTTTTTATTATAGGAGAGATAATTATATTGTTTCAAGAATCAATAAAGATAGAAATGAATCTCAAAATATATCATGTATTCTCATAACAAGGTTTGCTCAGTGATTCAATGGGGCATTATTCTTACACAACTATATCACTATTATATACCTAAAACTTTAAAAATAATATATTTATTGATATAACCCACGTCATAAGCCATATCATATGTAATAAGGTCTATGGCTCTGGCACCTATTTAACCATAATTTGTATATTATCGTGAATTGAGAATTATCCTAGTTTAAATTATAAATGTCTTTTATTATTTCAGGGTATGACAATATAAGTCTAACACTTAGCGTCTTGTCAAACTCCATAAACACTTTTAGGCCATATTCGTACCGGATCACATGTGTAACATCTGTTCCGAATGGGATCGCATTCATTATAGGTGTTACAAATGAGTAATGAAATGAAGCACCTATATAACATAATTTTACGAATGCGATCAATGCCAATCGACACCTGTTACGAAGGTGCCATAAAATCACATTCGTTACAGGTGTATTTTGATATGCAAGATGCAGCAAAAAAGGGTATGTTAATGTCCGTATTCCGTATTTATACTAGTCGGGTCATTGAACTAATATGTTTTATGTAAATAAAGGACGTTGTACTTTATAGCTATACAAGTCTATATTTTTCCACTTTTCCGTCCGTCTGTCTGTTTTGTTGTTTTTTCTTTTGTCTGAGTAAATAACAATAAACAAAGAAACACATCGTGATGGCATAATTTAGAATAAGATGAGAATTATGCAATTCTTACGGCTTAGTCAGCCGTAAGAATTGCATAATTCTCATCTTATGTAGTAAAAATAGTATTCGTAATAGTAATTGCACAGATTACATTGATGGCAGAGGTAATCATGATGGCAACGATAGTTGAGAGTATTTGCTGTTGTTCTTGTTGTTGCTGCTGCTGTTGTCTTTAATTTATTCATTTATATATATTGTCTATTCACCATTTCGGTCAATGCATTATATCTTTACATGCTTTTAAGTTAACACTTTGGTTAAAGATTTACATACAAGTTATCGTACGTGCAATTATATATCTCATCAATCAATAAAGATATTTGCCTTTAACTTCACACTTATATTTGAAATTATAAAAGGTAACTGTCGAGGCCAAAAATTCTGATATCGATTTTGACAGAATTTTGGCAATGTTTGAACTAAGGATATTTGGTGACAATTCTGCATCACCTTTCAAAATGACTGAAGTTCTACACTTGATACAAGCAGATGTCTCCATGGTCACGGTTGGAAGTCAATATCCAACGCCTATAACTGTGACAGAAACTTAGAGGAATAATGGTCCTTTGGAACGTAGAAAATTCTTTGTTTATGTTTTGCACAAATTATCAATTTTGAAAGCTACTGACGTAATTCACTTCTTAAACTTAATATTGGGCCACTATCCAAGGCGTATGTTCTTTTACAAAGAACTGTTCACTTCTGTATATGTCAGAGCATTGGTACAGTGCGAATATGATCAATCTATGATCAATCACAACGAAATTGACCTGCATCGTCCGCCAATCGAATTCGAGTCGTCCAATTCACAGTTAAACGCTTCACCGCTGACACTGTCTTGAATCTAGCAAATATATGGGCTTCTGAGATATGTTCACGTGATTAAATTGACGAATGCCTGCATGCCCGGTCAGACTTTTACCAAACAAAAATGTTGAACGACAAACAGCAGAAACTCTTGGATACCGTTCCATAAGTGGATGTTTAATAAAAGTTTATAACAAATCATGCATAACACAAAGAATATAATCTGCGGTTACCGTTTGTCTTTTTAATTCAACATGGTACATTTATGTAACACTTTTATCTCTACTCTACTCATGATATGATAGCCTACAAGTTTCAACCATCCGAAAGATAACCTGCTTGATAATTATTTTTATTTTACACTGCAAATAAGTCACGTTCATACTATGCAATTAAATAGTTGTGAAGTTAGGGCCATCCACAAAAAATTGTTTGTTTGTAGTGCTCCGACCGACCCATGAAAATGGCCCCGACTCTAATTTTTTTTAAACCTTCGAGGATTTTTTGGAGATCATTATGTACCCATTCTGTTACAAAGAACTTTCTCCAATAACTTTTCAGACAAATTTTGAACTGAGAAGTAGAAGAGTAAAAGAATGCTATTCCAAAACAAATATAAATGCACGCTTTTCATCGATATTTAGCCAAAATTTGACCCCGAACATCGGCGATTTCACATTTGCCAGAAACCCTAAAATCTGCAAAGGGCATTAAAATTCTTAGTTTCCAAGCCAAACATTTGAATGAATTGTTCTTTTGTTATTCAATCAAGATAAAATCTTATAAAAGTCGATCCCCTTTTGAAGATATTTGCTGAGACAATTGCCGATCGGATGAATCTCTTGCACACTGTGTGAAGCTGTACTCGATTTTCCTATTCATTCCACTAAACGCTGTCTATATACGTACAGGAACTGATGCCATCTTGAAGGTATTTTTACAAATATAAAGTTTTCGTCTTTCGACTTTAGAATGGACATATTTAACCAGAATAAAATTTGATTTATTTTTTTGTATAAAAGCGGAAAAACGATTGCAACTTTGTTATGTAATGGTACCCTCATGTTTTTTTTACAAGAGTGGACATATTTAACCAGCATAAAATTTGATATAAAAGTGAAAAAAAAAAAGATTACAACCTTGCTTCAAAGATAATATACATACATCAATGAATGTGAAAATGGACTACCCTCCGTAACCATAGGCCATCACTGTATAAATATATTTTTACACAAAATAATACAAGAAAAACTTTATTATTGACATAAATTAATTCAAACCAAAATCATCTTGCCATTTTCATGATTGTCAGAAAATGAGGTTACACTAAAACTTGTTGAATTCATAAAATTTTCGCGGGAAAATCGCTGGAAATAAATGGGTCTTTTTCCGATACTTTTAAATATTAGTCATATCTGTGGTTTCTTCATAAGAATGATAATTATTCATAAATTTACCTTTTCCTAAATTGTAATTTAATAGCCATTCATTTTAATCTTTGTTGCAAACAATTTTACAAATCATATACACTGTTTATATGTTTTTTTTAGTTACTTGTAGTGTAAATTGCATTTTCAAATAACAATAAAACTCTACTATTGAGACTAATTCTGTTTTATTTTCTCAAAGGGCTAGATCTATCAAGTAATCTTATTGTATATTTTTCTCAGACCACTTGTTTTATTGCAGGTATTGTCACCTTTTTTCAGCAGACATTGCCAATTTCAGTTAATAAGGAAAAATTCAATTATTTAGTTCAAAGTTGAAACAAATGTAAAATATTATAATAATTAAAATGTTATTATTTGAAATATTAAACAAAGAAAATATCAACAGAAATACATTGCCTACATATTTTAATTTGTCTAAATACAATGTTCAGTATATCATGGCAGACTATATACTGTGTATTGCTATACTCAGTATGCTCAAATTTTGTTGCAATTTCAAAAAAAAATCCCCTACCTACCTACCTACCCACCTCTTGAACTTAGGGTTGGAGCACTACAAACAAACAATTTTTTCAGGATGGCCTAATCAAACACAATTTGTGATATAATGCTCATTAGTAATAGCGACAAAGAATATGAGCAGTATTGATTCGGGTATGTATAGATTTGTATTTACTTCTTAATATTCTATAATTAAAATAATTCATAAACATATATCTGAATAAATGATCATTATAAAAATCGAATAATATCTTTATTGACTCTAACCAAAATGAGAACAAGTAGATACAAAACGACTTTTGTTACATTGTGTATGAGATTCAGAGTTGGTAGCGTTACTAAACATAGCCAGTGTATTATGTTTTCATAACTTAGTATTCTAATCTTATTTTAACTGACAAGAAAAGGACAATGCCATTAAATGACTTGAGAAATTTACAAGAGACAAGACTTAGGAAAATAAAATGAGCATGTGAGCCTTTCCCTATTTGATGTAAAATGAAATAAATGTGAGGTTATATCATTACTTATTGTACATAACTGACATGAGCATGTGAGCCTTTCCCTGTTATATGTAAAAAGAAATAACTGTGTGATTATATCTCATAACTTATTGTAACTGATACCATTTCTACAAATGAGAATACTACCGGACGATTAGATATAGCTCAGAAAAGAAAACATAATGTGTTGTTTCCGCGAGATACAACGAAGAAGAAAACAAAAATTCCCCATCTCATGAGATAGCAATTTTTTCCGAGTTTTTTTTCTCGAAGCCAAGAGATAGGGATATTTTTTGTTGTTTTGTTTTTCTTTTATTATAATAAATATTTGATTATCGTGGGAACGAGATAGCATTTTGTTTTTCCTTTTTTGCGAGTTATATGTCGTGGTCACGAGCTCGTAATTTTTTTAGTTATACCTCGTGGCCATGGCATAGCATTTTTTCTGAGTAATATCTCGTGCCCACGAGATAGGAAAGAAAAAATCGGAATGTCCCCTCTGTGCCTCCGTAGAAATAAGCGCGAAATTGGAAGCATGTTTCTTTAATACTCAAATATATACAAGGATAGACTTAAAATTTGAATTGTAGTTTTATATTGTATTTGCAACAAATAAAAACAAGATTTACTATTATAATATGGTAATTTACTTGCGTCATTTGGACGCCAAAAAGTACTGTATTGTATGAAAATAATATTTTTTTAGCTTTTCTTTGTTTCAAAGATGCACGTAATGTTTTGTTTAAAGAATAAGTTCCACAGCAAATTCTTGAAATAAAAAAGAAAAAAGGTCAAAATATCATTTTAATAAGAATCAAAAACAGGAACAGGGATATATTTGGCACTCTTAGGACTCAATTTATTTTAAGAAATACTGAATTTATTGATAATTACAGTAATGTTAAATATCTTATTTTATAGATATACGTATCTTACTTGTTGGAAGGACGGGTCATGGAAAAAGTTCCACAGCAAATTCGATCCTTGGATCAGAAAAGTTCAAAATATCATCCGGAGCCAAATCAGAAACCTGTACTACCCAGTGGTCAAGGGTATATTTAATCTTTTTCTTCAATTTTAAGAAAATTTAATAATTTCATGAAACTAAAGATTTGTTTACATTTCTTTCTATCTTTTGTGTTTGTGGGGGAGGGATACTCAAATGAGTGTTCTGAACAAAATTAGAAACAATACCATTCCTTCAAAGAAATAATTTGACTGTAAATGCTTGTAAAGCATTGATAAACTATAAAAAGGGATTCACCAATTGTTTGGAAGCTATATACTTCAACTGGATTTATTGATAATTAAAATGTCAGCCACCAAGTGTGTTAAAGTGGTAAGAATATAGAGCCTTTTAGAGCATAATTGCCCTACAAAGGAAAAGTATAATTTTCGTGTGTCACCTCGGGGAAAATATACAGACGGTTATAAAGACAAAATACTTCAGAATTCCTTTTTTGTATAATTGTTGTCGGTCCTCTAAAGCGAAACTGTGTGGTGTTTGTACTGTTTCCCTGTTATATTGAACACTTGCTGATATCCTTAGAATACAGAATGTAGTGTTTTAAACAAAAATACTTCATTGATAGAAGTAAAATAAAAATATTAAAGTAATGATTCTGTATTATTCTTTTTTATATATGACAATGCCGCCGTATCAAAGCAATTCGGTTCAACAGTTTGTGTTAAACATAAGCAAATATCACTTTTTTGGTGTGTTAACGTTCATTTCACATCATGAAAATAAATGATGAATGAGTATCCTACCTAATACAGTAAACGTTGTGGAATATTCCTACCTATGTGACTGTCTATGTAAGAATGTGACATAATCTAGGTTAAGACAAGGGCAATTAATCCACCAAGCAGCCATTTACCATGGACAGCGTAGGTGTGAATTTTAAAGCGATACATCTTTATTCCAGGTATTTAAACGATTTGGAAAAAATATCGAAGTGGTTGATACACCTGGTTTATTCGACACTCACAAAACTGAGCGTGAAATACATAGAGAACTCATTCGATCACTTCTTCTCACAACGCCTGGTTTTCATGCAATCGCATTTGTGCTCGAAAAAGGTCGGTTTACAGATGAGCTTGTAAAAACAAAGAACTTATTTTTCGATTGGTTTGGCAGAGGTGTAGAGAAATATTCATGTATTATTTTAACCAAAACGGAAGACGAAAAATCTTTAGAAAAATATATTTCAACTGATACAACAGAAGGTTTGGACGACTTGATAAAAAAATGCGGTGGCAAGCTAAGAATAGCACCAATCGAAAATACATCACCTGAAATAGAACGAAAGGAAGCGCAAGTTAAACGAATCCTATACATGGTGGAAGAAATAAAGAATGCTAACAGCAACACCCATTTTACAAATGTTGTCCTTCAGTTAGCCACTGTTTATATTACCAAATGGAGCTCTAAAGAAACCGCTAAGTATGCAATTGAATATTTAAAGAATGCTGGTGAAGGAATTACTACCACACAACTTAAAATAATGCTTGAATTCATAGATGAAAATGATGTGACCTATGATATTCCGCCTGGATCCGATTCTGCTGAAGAAGAACAGCCGATCAACCGAAGAAGAGGTAGAATGCTTGAATGCGGGGGTATACCCAACGATGATGAAACGGTCTGTCTATATCAGTTCAAAAAAGACTATTCGAGTGGACGAAGAGATGAATCTGGATTTTTCAATTTTTTTAGAAGATTATTGAATGAAATGAGGAAGCAATTCTGTTGTATTATATTATAAGCTTTTTGTCTTTGGATTCTGGAACTTCTTCAAGAATATAATGAGATTAACATGCTCCATTTGATTGCCATATGTTAATGTACATATTTAGCAAATTCATTCCAGTGAGGTAGTGACATTATCAACAGTCGTCCCTGGCTGTGTGGTTAAGTCCTTTGACTTCAAATCACTTACCCCTCGCCGTAGAAAGCCCGAATTCCGCCAAAGAAAGAATACACCAGTTAAAATGATAAAAAAAAGAAAACTTATTTCAACTGATTACAAAATTAAGCTTCAAATTACGTTAGATAAAATGAGGGATTTTTTTAAACTTATTTTTTCAAGGATTAGTGTGTTTATATTTCACGCTAAAACAGGAAGATGCTTCTTCGTGTACAATTTTGGTACATTTGGCAGTAATATTGTCATTTTATTGCAATAGATTCGCTTATTTCAATTATTTATTTCGTTCCTTCTTTATTGAAGAGGGTTTAAAATGATTCCTCTTTCTCCCCTTCCCATTTATTAATGGTTTCACATTGTTCATGTTGTTCAGTTTGAGTATGTATATTAAAACTTAATACGTTAGGGGCGGAAAATTCGTTGGGTTTGGCGACTGTAAAGTCAGGAATACAATTCAAATTATTCATGGTGTGAGTAGATAGTCTGCAATGCTTGACCCGTTAATTGAAACAACAAGTGCTTTTCATCAGTATTGGCGCACCTATGGACCGCCTATTACATATGATAAACGATGTTGTTTGACAAAATTCTAAAAATCGTCTACCTTGACTGTCAAACATTTTATCTGTTGATGACACGTTATATCATGTGCATAGTTCAAAATTCTTAGAAAATTGCGTGTATATTGATCAATTATTAGAATATACATGTATATGTATATTTATAAATGATTAGAATAGTTTGTGCATACATGTTTTTATTAATTATTAACAAAATAAAAAAGATCCCTCTATAGCTTTTTTGACCAAGATGGCCATATAAAGGCAGGAAATGATGATAGTTTAAAAATTCCCTATTGCGATCACCGACCTGATATTGAGATAATTGTTGTAAAAATGTGTAAATATATCTATTAGCAAATAAAGACGTCGAGCTAATTGTTGTTGAAATAGTTTATTTAAAACCTATGGAAATTTTATCACATATGATATCGAGTTTAATTATCATTTGAAAAAAAATCTCAGAAAACATAATAATGCATTTTTAGTTTTCAGTTTACCTTATTTTATCCTTTATCCGATTTGACAGTGATACCAAACAGAACATTTTAACCCTACATAAATATATTTAAATAAATTTTGAAAAGTTGAGATTGATAGTGAAATAACACACACTTTATCTAGTTTCTCATAACACATATAAATGCACATAACACTATTTGTCACTTCACAAAATAACATTGATGAGATTGGCGTACATGCATTCAAAAGTATTGTAAATAACGAGTTTCGTTATTAATTATGTCATGGTACTAAATCGTCACGGTTGAAGGATATTGTACACTAGCTGAAAAAAAAGCAACCGGTCAAGTGTCAATCTGTTCGACACTTAACTACCGCCTTGCCATATATGGAGGCTATTCGTTGCCAAAAATCCAGTCTTGTTGATCTGAGTTGAACAGTTTGTTAATGGAAAAAATACAATTGTATTTCTTTGTATGTAAACTCCAATGTTGCATACTTGGATTGAGTTTGCCAATTTAACATTGTAAACATGCATTTCAACAAAATACATTTTGTTAAACGACAAAACATTTTAACTGATGTAGCAATACCAAGTGTTCGAATACTCAAAACAGAAGTTACATTCTTAGCTTTACATTGTCGAACCATCATGATTCAGATCAGCATAATCCAGCTTTACACGTTTTTCAATAGGAGATAAAATAAGCTCCGCCCATTTTCCCGCCCACTAAATCATCGTAAATAAACGTATTTTCCGCTATTTTCGGTATTTACCGTCAGCGACAAGAAGCGGCGTAGTTTCCGTTTATCATACTATTTAGATGTTTAGTTACTAAACATAATTCACTTGCATGATTGCCTACAATCAACATCAGCGGACTTTTAAGGAATATAGGCATATAATTTTAAAACGTTGTAGAACACCACATTTCCTGGAAAAAGAAACTTAAAAAAAACCCCCAAAACACCAGGTTACATACTGTCTGAGGTGGAAGTGAAAACGATTGAAAAGACTATATTCAACGACAAATAAATTTTACTGATGGTATTCCCAATTTGCATAGGAATGAGTAACATTTACAGTTAAGCTGCTACCTTACCACTTTCAAATTTTCAAGTCAACATCTGATAAAGATTTTACTAATACAGACCAACTTCTGGCTGTTTTGTCTTTCCATAGTAGTACTATTATATTAGTAACCTTAATCTCTAGCGTATGACTTGACAAGAAAAAAAACCTTTAACAATAGTAAATATTTAACCAAAGTTGTATGTACCCTTTTGGTCATAACTTTTTATTTTTACCATATATTTTCCCATTTTCCCATTTTGTTTTTCAATAAGTAAAAAATTAAATGAGTCCAAATGTATGTATGTTGATTATCAATTTTTGTATACCTTGTTTATTTTATCTCTTAGAAAGCCATCACTTACAAAACTTAATAAATATTCTGTGTAGTATTTCATGTAAATAAAAGAAGTTCTCTGTTTTGTATCATATAGACAGCAAATCTAGACAGCAAATTAGTAACAGCTATTGACAGCATGTATACACATATTTAGAGGTGCTATTGATTCAGTACAATGCATAAAAAGACCTTAACCTACGCCAGCTTACATATATTAAACAATAAAAGGCTAAATCACATCCTTTGACTCAAAAAATACCTCCCCATGGAGGTAAACAGAGTTGCCAGGATACACTGAATATTTATTTCAAACATTAAAATGGGACAAATTCACAAAGTTTTGGTTATACAACGGAATTATCGATAGTAAACTTTGCATTGTTTCGTGTTATACACTTGAGTCAAAAATATGAGTTTTTCTATAACCCAACATAGTCCTTTAAAGAAAGACGGCACAGGCTTATTGTTCAGTTCTCTTTATTTCGTGTTGCCAAAAAGTGCCTTCCATGTATCGCATTCTAGTATTATTTGCTGAAGGTAAAAAAAAAGATATTGCTTAATAGAATTGCCGTGGCTCACAAAAAGCCCTATCATTGATATCAAATGAATAGTGGTGTGTGTCATTATATATGGGGAAACATTTCCATTTATGTTATTTCACCAACTTTAGTTTTTGCATATTATTATGCTCATTATCAGTATATACGTTGTTACATTTTTACAATATATCTTAACCAATTTTGCATTACTTGAATATCCTGTATAGAATACGTTTTAACAAAATCAAAGGATGTTCAAAGTCAAGATTGATGTAACAGTTTCTATATAATTTGAAATATTTTTGTACCAGCAAGAGTTACCTCTCTTAATATTCCGCTTTCGTGAAATTGGCTCCGCCTATTAATTTTCGTCTATTTCCGTGATAATTCCATATATGGAAGTTGCAAAATCGTTTACAAATGTTAATCGCGTTAGAATGTAAAAGGAAAGTGTGGTGTTGTAAAACCTGAGTGTGTCAAGTTGATGCAGTTACATTTTTAACGTCATGATGCACAGCATTAAACGTATTGTGTACGTTCTATCGTTTACATGTCGCAAATTTGAAGTTATACATTTATAAATACAGCTTGCAATTTATGTAAGTTGCATGTTAACAGCTTTCATTTTATCAAATCGAGGTAATCAAAATGCTTAATACCAGTGCAGTATGTAACTCTCGGATCGACAATTAGATTTTTACTAATCTGTTTAGTAGAACCGAAGTATGCATTGTCAAGTTTCAAAGGCTGGATTTTTGGCAACGAGTAGCCTCTATAGCCATACACTTATTCAAAGGAAGTGTAGAATATAATATATATAATTGTGTAATATTATGTAATACAGGTGTAATACAATCTTATCTTTAACACTTCCGCTGCTTCAATTTAAATCACATGCTGACAAAGTCGTCTAATGATACCTTAAAATAGGATATTTATATGCGCCGTTCGTCAAAAAAC